TTTGTTAATCAATTATTATAGTAAGTGAATTGAGAGAAGAACAGAACAGGTTGTAAAAGGTTGCCGGGAGTACTGGGTGTGATGTCGGTGGAGTTGCTACTGATATCTTGTTATTGTATAAGCAGCTGGAAATAATCTTTAATGGTTGAGATTTCGTAGAGAAATTAGAGAAGGAGAAAAATCAAACAAAGATCTTAGTACTATATTACAGAGAAAGCATTGAGGAAAATTTCAAGAATTTCATAGTGGCATGTCATCATAATTTTTTGCAGTCCAAAGTAATCTTACCTTTCTTATGGTACAAAGGTTTTTTTTTTTTTTTTTTTTTTCAACTCCAAAAAACAAGCATTAATTAAGAAAGCAAGGCAACCACAGAAAGGGCAAAGAAGCTTCTCTCTCTCTCTTTTTTTTTTTTTCTTCTGCATCATCAAATGCCAGCTCTCCCATATGGCTAATCAGACTGCCTCCCTCAAAGATACATAACCTGCCTCTCCTCCCTCCTCTTTCATATTGTTCTTTTTCTTTGATAGTCTCTCCTTTGTTATAGCTATTGAGATAAGAATCTTTTCTCTGCATAATTTTGATGTCTGTGCCACTTGAACATGATTACATAGGATTAGCAGAGACTTCTTCAATGGAAAGAAGCTCTGAGAAGATGTCCTCTTCCCCTTCTTCCTCATGTCCTCACGTCATTGAAGACAACAAGAGCAGCAGCAGCAGCAACACTGCTCTCAACCTCAAAGAGACTGAGCTAAGGCTTGGCTTGCCTGGTTCTCAGTCTCCTGAGAGAAAACCAGGACCTGTTGGCGTATCTCTTTTTGGGAAGGATTTGGAGCATAAGAGTAATGTGTATTCTCCAAGCTCTCTGAAGAACTTTGTCTCTGGGGCTAAAAGGGGTTTCTCAGATGCCATTGATGGGTCTACTGGTACTTGGGTTTTCTCTATAAATGGTAAAAATGATGGTGATTTGGGGAAAGGTGCTGTTTTGTTCTCTCCTAGAGGTGACAAAAGCAATACCCAACAACCAAGTACCTCTGTACCTGCCAAGAAGGAGATTGGCAGTGTTCCTCCTTCAACAAGGCCAGTTCAAGAGAAGAAGAATCAGGTTTCCACTGCAAATGAGCCAAGCAGTGCTCCTGCTGCGAAGTAAGTTCTTTTCTTGAGGAGCTTTTTATCTTTTATTTTCTTTCATTCATGTGCCCAACGATCCTTTAATTTTCAAGGAAATTGAGACAAGGGTAGAAAGTTGCTATCAACCTAGAAATGAAAATTATGGAAATAACTGACCTCAGTTTAGCTACAAAGCTGTTTTATGATTATCACTTTTCATAGTAACTAACTATATTTAGGTTTACACAGTTGGTATATGATTACCTGCCTTCAAGGTAACTAGTTGTGTTTGGATTTGCAAAGCTGCTTTATGATTATTTCCTTTCTTGGAAATTTTTCTTGCAATTTTCAATTGTTTTAGATTGGGAATTTCCTGTTTCCTAAAAACTCTTTAATTTGTACTAGTAATCCTTGTTTTTCACTTTGCCTGAATTTCATTGATTTCTTCTTTCATTTTTGAGTTTCAGTTATGACAAGTCATTTGTCTCAATTACTGAACATAAGTTTTCTATGACAGGGCACAGGTGGTAGGATGGCCACCAATTCGTTCATTCCGAAAGAACACCATGGCCACTAATTTGGTGAAGAACACTGAGGATGGTGAAGGGAAATCAGGAGCTGGATGCCTTTACATAAAGGTTAGCATGGAGGGTGCTCCATATCTGAGGAAGGTTGACCTCAAAAACTACAACAACTATGTGGAGCTCTCATCTGCTTTGGAGAAGATGTTCAGCTGCTTTACCATAGGTATACTTCTTTCCCAGACTATTTCCCCATTGTTAGGTTCATGTAGAAAGGGGATAATGCACTACTAGTGATTTTTTGCCATAAAATGCATCTTATCTTTATAAAACAGGTTAAGATCAGATATAGGAAGAAGATAAATATATATCAGTAATTTGTGCCTTGTCATGGTGCTTGGAGCACCAAGCCTCACAAATTCTGGATCATCAGCGGCCAAAATTGAATATTAAGGCATCACGAGTAATATTGTTAGAACGAACTGAGACTAATGTTATTTGACATTCTAGCCTGTGTTGACTAGTGTTCATGAACAACTGTGAGTCAGGGCAGTGCAGTTCTAATGGACTTCATGGGAGAGAGGGTCTGAGCGAGAGATGTTTGAAGGATATTCTCAGTGGCTCCGAGTATGTCCTTACATATGAAGACAAGGATGGTGATTGGATGCTTGTTGGTGATGTCCCTTGGGAGTAAGTGCTCTTCTCCATAGATACCACTTAAATTGAAGTGAGATTTTCACGCTTTGACAAGGTCTCGGATTTGGTGGGATGAGATTTTTGAGCAGTGTATTTTGCGTGTTGAAATTGAAATTTTAAAAAGAGATTGATGTGAAATGGTAAAGTCTTTTCCAGTTTTTGAAGGTCTAGAAAAGAGCACAATGATCTTGAATAGTATATGGTTTATGAATTATGATTCGACATGATTCGCTGCTCATGAAAAGTAGTAGTATCTTATCTTATGCAACTTGATATGGCTTTTATGCATCATTGTTCATTAAAATACAGCCCACTTGATCTGGATCCTCCCAGCTGGTCTGTTTCTTTCGTTTAGTTGTTTTGTTACTATAACATTACAGATTCCCTTATTTTCTATTTTGTTATCTCAGGATGTTCACCGACACATGTAGGAGACTAAGAATCATGAAAGGTTCTGAGGCAATTGGACTAGGTATCCCATATTATTTTAATATAAATAACAAAAAGGTGTTATATAATCTAGATTGCACAACACTTATTGAATGGAGGGTGGGCTCCTAATAGTTGTCTCCCTCATCCAATGGCCCTTGTTTTGCGATCCAGATTGCAAAACAGGGAACTGTATAAGCAATTCTTATAGTATGGCGTTATTTCTCACTTCATTATTAATTTATTACCAATATTTGACAATATTGAATTAATTTGATTTGGATCTATAAACAATATATGTTCATGGGAACTCTCCATTTGATTGGTTGCAGCTCCAAGGGCCGTGGAGAAGAGCAAGAACCTGAACTAGTACTAGTGTGAACAGTATGTCAAGGACCTGGAAAGTTCCGTTTCTCTTTAGTATTTCTAAAATCTAGAAGGGTGATTAGTTGATCAGTTTACTCAAAAGACTACATATATTTTCAAAATATAGTTAAGTTTGATTTGATGCAGTTGGTGAATTTGATATACTTCCTGCTAGACAAATGAAGCCCATTAGAAATATCCAACTATTTGTTTGGTGTCCTATCGCTTTGCATCTTGTCTACTTATGTTGTGGAAATTGATGTTTGTATTAGTATCCTGTCTGTATCAGTATTTCCTCTAAATCCAGGTGCCAACAGAATTTCTGAAATTCATCCAAAAGAGAAACTAGGGGCTGTTTTCACATAACAACAGTATATTGAAAATGTAAATTTACAATTTCTAATTAATTTTTTATATATTTTTATTAATTTTAATTAACATTTTATATATTTTGAAAAATAATAAAAGACAAAAAATCTTAAAATTACGGCATAATACACATTACTGACAGACAAAGCCTAGCTGTTGTAAAAAGGATATAGGGATTTCAGAATGGCACAATTAAACGCATGAGTAAACTGCATTCCAAAACACCCCGGAGGGATCTAGATGGCACTGAATTAGACCTTTTAAAATGTGTTACACAGGAAAGGAATACGAGGATTCATTCAGGAAAAATGAACATAAGACTTCAAATAACTAACAGGTACATAATCTGGACTGCTAAGAGGTAAAAGGAAAAAATTATTAACACAAGTTCCACCTAGTCTAGTCTAGTGTAAAACTCAAATCGTAAATATTTTAAGACACTGATTTTCCTGGTTTTGAGATTTGAATATATACCATCTGGGTATATCCATTAAATACAGAAGTTTCAAGTCTGCCTAAACCAAGCCGCTGAAATACGCCATAACGCCCATCTTCAACAATAGGAATAGGAGTGCGAGCAGGATCATATCGTGTTTGGTGAGTAAGTGAAGGACCAGCTACTGGTGGTAGTTCCCAGTACAGATCAAGAACTGATTCAATAAACCGGCTGTTTGCAAAGTGATCAGCATAAGAGATTGGGGTATGATTCTTGTTAAAATCATCCAGCATCTCCCCTCTAACACCCCACCATGCTTCGTTGGGCCCACAAAGTTCGTCTACATCCACTGCCTTTGCCCAGAATTTCTTCCTCTTTGACCTGATCCTGGCTTCATCACTATCCCTGAAGCAGCTATGGCCACCTCCTGAATGAAAAGACCACAGAATTAAAATAAGAGTCATCAAGAAACAGAGATTCTTCATTTTCTTTTCATGCTTACTATGATTATTCATGTGATATTAATCATCATGCCCGCATAGGCAGTTCCAGAAAGCAAGAGTTTTTAACTTTGAGAAAATTCCGAGTCTCATGAAAATGATAAGAATCTTTACAATGGAAAGAAAATTGTTTTCATTCATGTTACCAAGACACAGCTTGGTGATACTCAATACTTCAAGCGGGAGAACAAAATCTAAACTCAGTGAGTTGTAATGTTCAAAATTATTTGCCATGATAAACCATAAGCACTTGCACTTCATAAATGTTAAGCCATTAGTTGTACTTCATTCATGTTAACCCATTGGTTGCTTCCTAAAATTTCTCACACATACTATATCCAAAAAAACTATTTTTATCCAATAGACTAAAAGAAAATGTGGCCATCCTCAGTTATCAATTCTGATAAACAAAGTGTCATAACTCATAATAGAGTATTTCATGTCAAAGCCACTCAAAAATACTGAAGAAGAAAAACAAAAGAGAAAGAGGAGAGAGTGTACACCTCTTATATAGAACTGATCACATATCTGCCTCAATGAATAATGATCTCCAGTTCCAGTATCGTAGTTATCTTCAAAAACAAGATGATGGAAGCCAGCCTTAACTGCCTGCTTGACCCTGCTCACAAGAGCAAGTAATAAACAAAACAAGCACAAGCAAATCTAAAACCTATGAATTGTAAAGATTGCTAATGATACCATGCATGAGCAACGGTCTACTCCATATGCATTGAAGAACTTTTCATCAGCATGGCAAATCTAAAACATTTTAACTATAAATATCACAATAATTACATGCATCAAATACCTTTTCAATTCACTTTGATGGTCATCAAAGAAAACAAGAACTCTGGTTGGATCAGAAATACCATGTCTCTTCAGCACCTTCTGCCAATCAATATTTCCAAAATCCACAAAATCCTTTCCAGCAAAGTACGTGCAATTTGCATCAACATAAGCAGGCCCCTTTTTTAGGTATTTCTCAGGGTGACGGGGTGTTACCGAGATGATTGGTTTGTCAGGCATTGCTTGCCGCAGAACCCAAGTTGAATGTCCCTTGAAAGCACCACTCTCAATCATCAAATCTGGTTGAAGCCACCGTGTAATGAACCAAAGCCCAAAGCTATGATCAAAACCCATCCCATACATGTTGTTTTTTATTGGACGTGTTTCATATATAGGAACAAATTCCTCCAAACCCTTGATTAGATCTTTGGATGTCCATTCAACAGTTTTTCCTTGTTTCGATCTGCCTTTTGCCAATGATGAGAATTAAATGGGTGCAAACTGTTAGACTTAAGAAATTTCACTCAAACATAGTTCTTTGAAATGAAAACAGCCAAGCTGAATTAAAGTAATAGCACATCTAAACCTACTTAAATTGAACTGGCAATAGCAAAAACTGAAATGAAAGAACGAACTTTGATAATAATTTATTAAATTTATCACATTTCAACAATTTAAATCAAACACTAACAGAATAAAAGCAAATCCAAAGTCAGTCATTAGTAGGAAATTTCAAGGTGCTATAATGGCGTAGTAATGCCGATCAAAATCAAAGCTTGATTCATAATAAGTAAGGCAAGAACAAATCCAGATCTAAGCGTAACTTACACCAAGGGACGCCGAGGGCTCCGAAATCCAAATCCAATCCATCAAACCCGAAGAAGCCGGCTCTGGAGATCGGATCATAGGAGGAGACACAAACGAGCGAGCGAGACTTGAGCGTCAATGAGAAAAGCAAAATGAAGGAAACAAGGAGGCAGAGAAGGGGAACGAGAAATGGACATGGAATACAGAGCTGCGGGTGGCCTAAACGGGATAGGTACTTGGTGATTAACAGCGCGAGGTTGGGCCTCTTGGTCTTGGATTCGTCGGCGGCGCCCGAGTGGGATTCGGGGTCAGCAGAGGAGGCGTCGGTGGGGAAGTCGGAATCGGAGTGGGAAGCAGGGCGGCGAGCGGAGAGGGCGCGGTCTAGCATCGTGGTTGGGGTTTTGGGAGAGTGTGTGTGCCGAGTGCTCATTGCCACACTGCGGTTGTGTGGTGGTTTAGCTTTTTCTTCTCTTTTATTTTTTACTAATTTAATGCTGTAAATGTAAATGTAGAAGGGAAAATTTTGCGGTGAGATGTGATGAGATGGAGATGATCGGTGAGAAGAAAAAGGAAAATTGAGGTTTGAGATAAACCTAAAAAAGAAAAAAAGAAAAAAAAGAAAAAAAAAGAAAAGAGGTTTGAGATTTAAATTGAATTAATTTCTAAGTATTTGGACAAATTGTTCAAATAATTCAATTATTATTTACTTTTATTAAAAATAAAAAATTTTAAATTCAAATAACATGATATACAGATAATGTGAAATAAGAGACATAAGACGTTTACCTCAATTGTGCAACAAAAAAAAAAAATCCTAAGTGTTGTGTTGTAAACTAATTTGGGTTTTTGGGATGTGTTATTAACATCCCTAGAGAAAATATTAATATTAGCATATATTTAGAAACACATTGATTATTAAAAATTAAAATATATAATTATTTTTAATTAAAATATACTTTTAACTTTTTACTTTATTAAATTTAAAATTTTTACCCCTTCGTGTTAAGTTTCTTAGAAATTTAACAGTTTGAAAAATTTAGCCATAAACTACCGAAATTTATTAACTTATTTATAAAGTTAGTCCTTAAAAATTAAAAATATAATAACTTAATTTCAACCATTTAAAAATTAAAAATTAATAAATTAAAAAAATAATAAATAATTTTTTCACATGTACTAAAATAATATTAGATTATAATCAAATCGAACAATTAGTTTAATTTGAAAAAAAAATTCTAATCAAGAATAAATAAAATTTTAAAATCTAAAAGATTAGAAGAATATAATCAAATTTCTTTTTTAAATTTCAATCAAATATTTTTTAGATTGAACTAATCATCCGATTTAATTGTAAATATCTAATATTATTCTATATATAATAAAATCATTCATCAATTATTTTTAATTTATTAATTTTTAAAAAAATTTTTGAAACTAAATTAAAATATTTTTAATTTTTGAATACCAATTTTATAAATATTTTATTTTTACTTTAACAAATAATTAACGGACTCTATTCGATTAAGATTTTATTTGATTTCACCGTATATAAGATAAAATTTATTTATATATTAAACGTCAACTAACATTACGTGACCATTGTTATAAACACAACCGTGAAGGCAAGGGAGGCCCTACTCCCACCCACAATTGGTTCCCCGTTCGGCCCCTCGTAATTACCGACGTCAGGTGCGCATACGGCTCCACCGCTCTTCTGGCAAGCTGCAAAGACAAGCAGCAACCGTATTTATGCAATTTTTTGCCGAAGATTTGGACTCTGCATTTCTCCAATGTTCTTATTACTGACGTTTAATCAAACACAACTTTTTAAACATCTACTCTAACTTTCATAAATTGTTTAGGGGTTATAAAAAAAATTGTTTCTTTATGGATATAAAATTTTCTTTAGTAGTAATTTTTAAGAATTAGAAATTAAAAATAGGGATTTGTAACTTATTTTGTTAATTAGTCATATCGCTTATATGAACAATTTAGTCTCAAAGCTAACATATGCACGACCGAAACCAAAGAGGCTTCCGTTGTGCTCATTCGGAACTACATAAATTGACTTTGGATCTACAGAAATTAATGGAGAAATGCAGAGTTCAAAATTTCGGCAAAAATTGCATTAACACGGTAGCTGCTTGTCTTTGCAGCTTGACATAAGAACTGAGGAGACGTATGCGTTCCTGACGTGGGTAATTATGAGGGGCGGGACGGGACCCAATTGTTGGTAGGGTAGGGCCTTCCTTTTTTTATGAGCAAGTACAATATTTAGAGTAGGAGGAAGGGTTTCAATTAGGGGTGGTAATGGGTAATATTGGGTTAAGGCGTGTCTTCTCATCTTTATTTCTACTAATGACGAAGATAAATATTCTCATAGGGATTTTTGAAGGGAATAGATTTTGCCCTTCCTTCTTGTTCTCCATGAGAGATGGGGATCCTTATGAAGATTTGGCGTAGGAACTGATACCGAAACACCGATTTTAGTGAGATTTAAAATCCCACTACGATGAATTCGATTGCCAGGATCACCACTTAGGTTGGCAAGACCTAAGATACAGAGATAAATTGAGAAAATCCACTCTCAAGAAACTCACTCAAAACAGAGGAGAATTGGAACTTCATTAACTGAAATTTTGGATTACAACTTATGCATACAATGACGGGAACATAGCTATTTATAGGCAAAATCTAACATAAGGCAATAAATGAAAAGCGAAAATGTAGTTGGGAGTTAGCCATCTTTGTGGAATTTAGTGGCCACTTTTGACAAAATTGCACCGGCCTATTTTGGAGTCTGCAGAGGGTAGTTTGAGTTTTGTTGACTTGCAATCCTAGTGCACTTTCCTGGTGCTTTCCCCCGGTGCATTCTCCCCTGGTTGGAGAAAACTCGTCCTCGAGTTTGAGTTCAATGTTCATGGTCCTCATAGTAAGGAGATAGGTCAGCTATGTTGAAAGTAGCAGAGACTCCATAGTCACCTGGAAGTTTGATCTTGTAGGCATTATCATTGATTTTCTCCACTATCTGAAAAGGACCATCTGCTCTAGGGGAGAGTTTGACATTAGGTCGATTAGGAAACCTTTCCTTTCGAAGGTGTATCCAAACCCAATCTCCTTCTTTATACACAACCTTCTTTCGGTGCTTGTCATGATGAGCCTTATACCTAATGGTTTGACGTTGTAGCTTCTCCCGAACTTCTTCATGAAGTTTCTTGATCTCCTTAGCTCGTTGTTCAGCATCTACACTAAATTGTCGGGATGTGGGCAATGGAGCAAGATCTAAAGGACTAAGAGGACGCATTCCATATACTACTTCAAATGGGCATTTTCCCGTAGCTTGATTCGAAGAGTTGTTGTAGGCAAACTCAGCTTGGGCAAGCACAAGATCCCATTGTCGCAAATTCTTTCCCACAAAACTTCATAGTAGATTC